CCCTGCTCATTCCTTGTTTCAATTTCTGGCCTGTCCCTGATCTGGACCCCCACTTAGCACACTGTATTACTGTATGTGATTGAAGATTTTTTTCCTAGAGGTACTGGAGGCAAGGCTCAGTGGTTAAGAGCATTTGCTGCTCTTCAGGGTTTTGGAGTTCAGCATCCATACCAGGCTGCTCATAACTGCCGGTCACTCCAGCTCCACAGGCCCCAGTGCCTCCACAGGTACTACATACATCAATGAGCAAACACACATGCAGACACATACACACACATAATTTTGTTGTTGTTGTTGTTGCAGGTTTTTTAGTTTTATTTAAGCACAAATAACAGGAGCATGTGAGTTGTCTATTCATTTTCTTAGCTGAGCACCCTGGTTGTTGGGTTCGTAACTCTGATGGCCAGCTGTGCTGCTCTTTCAACAATAGCTTTGCAGTTCTTGGAGGATACATTGTATGCTATCTCAGCACAATAGGATTTGTTGCACATCAGGAGCACTTCCAGTTCCTTGACATTGTGGACTAGGAACTTCTGGAAGCCACTGGACTGCATGTGCTTTTTTTGATGCTCCCATAACCAATGTTGGGCATCAAGATCTGACCCTTGAATCTTCTCCGCACCCTGTTGTCAATACCTCTGGGTTTCTGCCAGTTTAGCTGAATTTTGACATATTGGTCAGACTGATGCCTGATGAACATCTTGGTCCTCTTTTTGACAATCTTGGGCTTCATCAGAGGTCTGAGGGCAGCCATGATGCCAAGCAGGAGATGGCAGCACCGAGGAAAAAGGAGCATACAAATAAATTTTTTTTTAAATATCTTATTTTTCTTATTTTATGTATGTGAGTGTATTGCCCACATGTATGTGAGTGCACCCATGTCCTGCAATGCTGCAGAGGTCAGAAGAGGGCTTCAGATTCCCCTGGAACTGGAGTTAAGGGCGGTTCGAAGCCACCATGTGGGTGCTGGGAATCGAACCCGGGTCCTCTGCAAGAGCAGTCAGTGCTTTTAACCGCTGAGCCATCTCTTCAGCCCCAGAAGGTTTTTTTTTTTTTAATTTTTAAAATATTTGTGTTTTTTTTTCTTTTTTTTAGTTCAGCTGGCCTGAACTCACTATGTAGACCAGGCTGGCCTTGAATTCACAGAGATCTGTATCCACATGTTGGTTAACAATCTTTCTGGAGGATTCCAACACCCTCTTCTGACCTCCATGGGCATTGCATGACACAGATGAATTTACATACATGCAGGCAATATACTCATACACATAAAATAAAATAAAAATAAAATAAAATAATTAAAATAAAAATATCAATAATTTTTTTTTTTTAAGAATTCCAGTGTTAGAGACACCTTTAATCCCAGCACTCGAGGCAGAGGCAGAGGCAGAGGCAGGGGCAGAGGTAAGCAGATCTTTGTGAGTTTGAACAACTGAAAAGCAAGAGGGAATGTGCAAGGAACTACTATACAAGTGAAATTCTAAAGTCCTTTACTAAACATCTACTCCATTCTCTCTCAGATATGCAAGAAGTCCAAAACCAGAAAAGTCACACCTAGCACAGCTAAGAAGCATGTATTCCTGCTCCTGGATGGGGAGACCTACTCCCAGGAAACCAGGAGGTGGAGGAGTCCCTCTGGAGGAGAGGTAACTGCAGCTGAGTCTTTAGGGAAAGGTCAAGCTGAGTTTCCTGCTGGCTTGGTGAATTCCTAGGAGGGATTCAACAGTAACAAGACATGTCCAGGTCAAATAGCCACAATGGAACAGAGGTGACTGTTCAGGCAGGCCTCAGCCATGCATCTTAGACTTTACTGGACCTTGTAGATAGGAGAACTCAAGGAAGAAATAACTAGCCAGCTGGGTCTTGCAGTGCCTGGCACTAAAGTCATCTCATTCTGGATTTCTCTTATGAGGAGATAAACTGTGTGGATAGTGCAGATCAGAATAGAGCCCAGTGATTTCAGTGGCAGGACATGGGTCCCAGGAAAGCCAGGGAAATACAAGCATTCTTTGGCTTCCTGTTCCCAGCAGCTGCAGGAAGCTTCTCCAAGCCCCCAGCTCTCCCTGCAGCTCCCAAGGACTTCAGAAAACCTTGTTTCCTGTCCTTCCTGATTAGACACACAGAGATCAGGATGGGAGCAGCTGAGTATTCCATGCAATCCCCAGAGAGATGGTAGGGCAGTCAGCCAACATTTGGAAAGGCAGTGTGATGCTTATTTGGAGACAGGGCCTAGGAAAAGATTTCATACCTTGAGGCAGGACCTTCAGCGTTCCATATTGTGATAATCTGAAAAAACTATTGATAATTTTCACAGGGGGGAAAATACTCGCTATACGTTATCTTGCCTATAAGCCTGTAATTTAAAAGTCTCTGATTAGCCGGGTATGGTGGTGCACTCAGGAGTCAGAAGCAGACAGATCTCTGTGAGGCCAGCCTGGTCTCCATTAGTGACTCTTGGCCAGCTGCAGCTACAGGGAGACCTTGTCTCAAAAAAACCAAAAAAGCCAGGCCTGGTGGTGCACGCCTTTAATCCCAGCACTTGGGAGGCAGAGGCAGGCGGGTATTTTTGAGTTCCAGGGCCGCCCGGGCTTCATAGTGAGGTTCCGGGCACGTGGGGGTTCAGAAAGACCCCGTCTCAAAAAAAAAAAAAAAAAAAAAAAAAAAGTCTCTGATTTTCCTTTGTTTGTAGGGACTCCAGCTGTAAGAGTCCATGTAATGTGCCTAAGGTCAGGGAAATTCCAGTTTGGTTTATGCCCCAACTGGCGTCAGGGGCGTCCTCCTGGCCATCTTGACTTGCACTGCCCTCTAGAGCCTGTGGGACAAGGCTAGAAGAGCCTCAAGGGAGCCACCTGCTTCTCTTACCTCCTTGGTACTACTTCAGATTGGCCTATTGGAGACAGTCTAAGAGAAAGGAGTGTCTGGTTTGATCCCTAGCACTAAGAAAGGAAAGAAGGAGAAGTGGTGGGGAAGGGAGGGGAGGAGAGAGAAAAGGAGAGGAAGAAGGAAGAGGAAGGGAGGGGCAGGGAGGGGAAGGGAGAGAAGAAGAGGAAAGAAAAGAAAAGGAAAGAAAAAGAAAAGAGAGGCCAAGTGTGGTGGACCATGCCTTTAATCCCAGCACTTGGGAGGCAGAGGCAGGCAGATCTCTGTGAGTTCAAGGCCAGCCTGGTGTACATAGTGAGTTCCAGGCCAGATGGGACTACAGGGAGACCCTGTCTCAAAAAGACTAGGAAGCAAAACAAAACAAAACAAGAGTTACTTGTTACTTGTAGCAAGTTTGAGGCTAGCCTAGGCAACATGAGACCCTATCCTAAATAAACAAACAAACAAACACATAAAAACAAGCCAGGTGTACTGGCTCGTACCTCTAATCCCAGCGCTTGGGAGGTAGAGACATGAGGATCAGTAGTTCCAGGCCAACTTGAGCTACATGAAACCTTGCCTTAAAAACTAAATATATGGCCGGGCATGGTGGCACATGCCTTTAATCCCAGCACTAGAGAGACAGAGGCAGGAGGATCTTTGTGAGTTCAAGGCCAGCCTGGTCTACATAGTGAGTTCCAGGACAGCTGGAGCTACAGGGAGACCCTTTCTCAAAAAAAAAAAAAAAAAAAAAAAAACCCAAAAATATGTGCCAGTGAGATAGCTCAGTGGATAAAGGAGCTTATTGCACATATTTGGTAACCTAAATTGGACCCCCTGAATCCATATAAAGGTGGAAGGAGAGAAGGACTCTACAGAATGTCCTCTATGATGGATAAGTTTGATTGTTAACTTGACACACCTGGGAAGGAGGACCCTCAACTGAAGAATTTCTTCTATTAGATTGGCCTGTGGACATTATCAGTGGGGCATTTTATTGATTGTTAATTGATGTGGGATTACACAGCCTAATGTGGGTAGTACCATTTCTGGGAATATAAAGTTAAGAAAAGCAGCTGACCACGAATCTGGAAGCAAACCACTAAGCAGCATTCCTCTTTGGCTTCTGCTTCAGTTCCTGCTGAGTTCTTACCCTGATTTCCCTCAATAATGGTCTGTAACTTTTTTTTTTTTTTTTGGTCTTTTTGAGACAGGGTCTCCCTGTAGCCCCAGCTGTCCTGGAACTCACTATGTAGACCAGGCTGGCCTTGAACTCACTGAGATCCACCTGCCTCTGCCTCCCAAGTGCATGCGCCACCACAGGCATGCGCCACCATGCCTGGCTTAAAAACTTATTTTTAATGCTACTAACACTTAGATGTTAACACTTAGATTATTTATTTATTTATTTATTTATTTATTTATCTATGGTCTTTTTGAGACAGGGTCTCCCTATAGCCCCAGCTGGCCTGGAACTCACTATGTAGATCAGGCTGGCCTGGAACTCACAGAGATCCGCCTGCCTCTGTCTCCCAAGTGCTGGGATTAAAGGCGTGTGCCACCACACCCAGCTAAAAAAAATTTTTTTTAAAGATGAAATAGGGGCTGGAGAGATGGCTCAGCAGTTAAGAGCACCTGGGTTCGATTCCCAGCACCCACATGGCAGCTATGAATGGTACTTAATGACAGTTCCAGGAGAATCCAAAGCCCTCTTCTGACTTCTGCGGCATTGCGCGACACAGGTGCACTCACATACATGCAGGCAATACACTCATACACATAAAATAAAAATAATAAATAATGGCCAGGCGTGGTGGTGCACGCCTTTAATCCCAGCCAGAGGCAGGCGGATCTCTGTGAGTTCAAGGCCAGCCTGGTCTACATAGTGAGTTCCAGGACAGCTGGGGCTACAGGGAGACCCTGTCTCAAAAAGACCAAAAAAAAAAATTAATTAATTAATTAATTTAAAAAAACATATTAAAAAAAGATGAAATAAACCCTTTCCTTCCAGTCCCTGAGTTGGTTTTCAATATTTTATCAGAGCAACAGAAAATAAACTAGGATATCCTCTGTCCTCCAAACATGCACTGTGGCTTGTGGGCACACACACTTATGCACACACACATAAAATTAAAAATGACATCCTTTTTTGTTTCGTAAGTGTGATGATTTGGTGTTCATGCTATTGAATGATAGGCCTCCCACGAATCTTGTGAGGTTAACCTGGGCAGGTTATCTGACTGACATGGCAAAATTTTTTTTTTTAATTTGTCTATGGGCTCATGAGATGGGTCAGCAGGTAGAGAGGCTAGTTGCCAAGCCAAAGGACCTGATTTTGAGCCCCAGGATCCACATAAGGGAAAGAAAGAACAGACTCCCCAAGTTCATCTATGATTTCCACACATGTGCTTTGGTACATACATTCCTACACACATAAACATACTCAAAATAAATAAATAAAAATCTAAGGGGGCTGGAGAGATGGCTCAGTGGTTAAGAGCACTGACTGCTCTTACAGAAGAATCAGATTCAATTCCCAGCACCCACATGGCAAACCGTCCTTAATTCCAGTTCCAGGGGAATCCGAAGCCCTCTTCTGACCTCCAAGGCATTGCATGACACGGGTACACTCACATACAGGCAGGCAATACACTCATACACATAAAATAAAAATAATAAGTTATAAATTTTTCTTAAAAATATCTAAGACTAGAGAGATGTCTCAGCAGTTAAGAGCACTACTGCTTTTGCTAAAAAAAATAAAAAAAAAAAACACCCAGATTTGGTTCCCAGCACTCACATGGTGGCTAAGAACCATCCATAACGTCAGTTCCAGGGGATCCATGACATCCTCCTCTGGCCTCTGCAGGCATTGCATGCACATAGTGCACATGCAGGCAAAACACTCATACACATAAATTAAAAATAAATTTTTTATGAGACAGGGTCTCTCTGTAGCTCCAGCTGACCTGAAGCTCACTATGTACTTTAAATTTTATTTATTTATTTTGGTCTTTTTGAGACAGGGTCTCCTTGTAGCCCCAGCTGTCCTAGAACTTGCTATGTAGACCAGGCTGGCCTCAAACTCACAAAGATCCACCTGCCTCTGCCTCCCAAGTGCTGGGATTAAAGGTCTGCACCACCATACCCGGCAAAGAAAATTTTTTAATATTTTATTTTTAGTCAGCAATCCCAGTGCTCAGAAGACAGAAGCAGGTGAATCTCTGTGAGAGTGAAGCCAACCTGGTCTACACAGTGCATTCCAAGCCAGCTGGGGCTACAAGGAGACTCTCTCACCACCCCACCCCCCAAAAAATTAGGGAACTAGAGATAGGACTTGGGTTAAACACACTTACTGCTCTTCCTGAGGACCCAGAGGTGTGTTCCCAGCACCCGTATCAGGAGGTTCACAACTGCTTTTAACTTTTCTTCCAGGGGATCTGACCTGCCCATAGACATACACACTAACAAAAATAAAAACAGGTGTTTTTTTTTAACTTATGTGTTTGTTTGTGTGTGTGTGTGTGTGTGTGTGTGTGTGTGAATGTACACATGTAAATGCAGGTGCCCAAAGAGTCCAGAGGAGGGTGTCAGATACCCTGGAGCTGGAGTTACGGGTGGTTGTAACCTGCCCAACAGAGTCATCTCACCAACCCCAATAAAAATAAATCATGATTGGTATGAGAAGTGGACTTGATTAAAAAAATTTGTATGCTTGCATAAAATTCTCAAACAATAAAAAGACAGGACCATTAATTGCAGGACAAATAAATGTCTTTAGAAAAGAACTAAATGAAAAATATAATAACTGAAATTGATAATTCACAAAATGAAGATTCTAACTGATCAGATACTATGAAATAGAGAATTATAAGAGTTAACTGGAGTATTAGTAAAAATACTCAAAACATGAATAGACAAAAGAGAAGCGCATTAAAGAATATTAGACATATTCAGTGTAAATTCCTTTCATATATACTACTGGAATTTCAGAGGCCAAAATGGGGACAGAAATAGTTATTTGGAGAGGAGTTGACTAGAAATTTTAAATATTAAGAAAAGTGAGAGAAGATATAAATCCTTGCATTAAGAAATGTTACAAATTATAGTAAGTTTAAATACAAAGAAAAGTACCTAAAAGTGCATCATAGCAGAATTTTCCATAAAAATAAAAAGAAATAAGAAACCAACCAATTAATGAGAGTGTTAAAAGCACATGGAAGCCAGGCGTGGTGGTGCACGCCTTTAATTCCAGCACTCAGGAGGCAGAGGCAGGCAGATCTTTGTGAGTTCAAGGCCAGCCTGGTCTACATAGTGAGTTCCAGGACAGCTGGGGCTACAGGGAGACCCTGTCTCAAAAAGACAAAAAAAAAAAAAAAAAAAAAAAAAAAAGCACATGGAAGAAAAGAGATATATAACCTTCAAAAAGAGCAAGGATAATATTAACATCTGATTTCTCAACAAAAATAAACTAAGGACGTAATGAAAAGACAGCTAGCTTCACAGTCCAGTAATGAATAAACTGACAAGCCAAAAGACTATGATGAAGTATAAATATCCTTCAAAATATAAGTAGTGGAGAATGTAGACATAGCTAAGTGGTAGAATGCCAGTAGCCTAGCCTCACAAAAATTGTTAATAAATGTAGGTGAACATCAACTATGGATAATAGTAAAAGTTTCTTTTGGTCTTTTTGAGACAGAGTCTCCCTGTAGTCCCAGCTGTCCTGGAACTCACTACGTAGACTAGGCTGGTCTTGAACTCACAGACATCTGCCTGCCTCTGCCTCCAGAGTGCTGGGATTAAAGGCATGCGCCACCACACCTGGCATAAGTTTCTTTTTTAAATTCCTTAAAAGTATTAAAAAATGCATTGATTCATCAATCCCAGTCTTGAGTAGCTATCCAAAGAAACTGATACCAGGAACTTTAAGAGGTATTGACACTCTTGGGTTCATTGAAACATCATAAAAAAAAAAAAAAGCTAAGATTTACAATTGTCTGCCAACAGATAAATGAATTAAAAAAAAAATAAAGTAGATATTTCTTTAAAAGAAAGAAATCTCATAATTTCTGACAACATGGATGAAACTGGAGGGCATTGTTCTAAGTGAAATAAACCAGACATAAAAGAAAAAAAAATCATGAACAATTACAAAAACAAACACCTAGGAGCTGGAGAGATGGCTCAGCAGTTAAGAGTACTGGTTGTTCTTCCAGAGGACCCAGGTTGGGTTCCCAGCACCCACATGGTGGTTAACAACCATCCATAACTCCAATTTCAGGGGCTCTGAAGGCCTCTTCTGGCCTCAACAGGCACTGCACACACATGGTGCACTTACATATATACATGTAAAACACTTATCCATATAAAATAAAATAATGAATAAAATAGTTCATTTATATTTTTATTTTTTTATGTGTATGAGTGTAGTGCTTATGTGTGTGTAAGTGTGCTCATGTTGTGCAATGCCCAAGGAGGTCAGAAGAAGGTGTTGGATTCCCTGGAACTGGAGTATGAAAGGATGTTAGCTGCTATGTGGGTGCTGGAATCAAACCCAGGTCCTCAGCAAGAGCAGTCAGTGCTCTTAACTGCCATCTCTCCAGCCCCTGAATAATATATATGTGTATATATATATATATATAAAATTTTTTTTTGTCCTATGTAGACCAGGCTGGCCTTGAACTCATAGAGATCTGCCTGCCTCTGCCTCCCGTGTGCCACCATGCCCACATGAATAAAACATTTTTAAAACCTAAAAATAAATAAATATGAATTCCAAACCTAGCAGGAAAATGGGCCTACTCTTGCCAGTTATGGGCTGTTTACTCACACTAGGCCTCCCCAAATCACTGACAGTATCTGCTGTCCCCCTAATTTCTGCCCATCCATAGGGAGCTAGCAAGACTGATGATATAATTCAAGAGTAGAGTGCTTGCCTAACATGTAGATGGCTCTGAATTCTGAGTTTCTGTAACTCCAAAAACAAAAATGTCAGTTTTCTTATGAAATCCATTGGAACTGTAGTATTTCCAAAGAGCTGTTGACTAGGAGTAGAGATGCCCTCCCATACTATGGCACAGCTTATCCGGGGTTAGCTCAGTGGTAGAACATTTGCATAGTATATACAAGGCCCTGCTTATAATTCCTTAGTACTAGCAAAAAAAAAAAAACCCAAAAACCCAAAAAACAAAAAACAAAACAGACACGCCTGTACTCTGTAATCCCTAGTTCTCAGGAGGGTGAAGCAAGAAGATTGCCTCAAATTTGAGGCCAGACAAGGCTACCTAGCAAGATTCTATCTAATAAATAAATAAATAACCAAATAAATAAATAACCAAATAAATAAATAACCAAATTTAAAGGGCCAGCAAGGTGACTCGATGAGTAAAGGCACCTGTTGCTAAACCTAATGACCTGAGTTCAATCCCTGATACTCACCTGGTAGATGGAGGAAACCGACTCCCTAAGTTATCCTCTGACTTCCACATATGCACTGTGGTACATGCATATCTCCCACCATAGGCACACAAACAAAATAAATAAGCTAGGTGTGGTGATGGCCATCTTTAATCTGAGCACTGGGAAGGTAGAGGCAGGAGAACCATTGGAAGGTGGAGGCCAGTGACTACGTAGTGAGTTTCACACTAGCCAGGACTACATAGGGAGACCTTCTCTCTCTCTCTCTAAAATATATATATACTTGGGAGAAATAGGTAGGTAGATCTCTGTGAGATGGAGGCCAGCCTGGTTTACATAGTGAGTTCCAGGGAGATCCTGTCTCAAAAAGACAAAAAAAAAAAGCCGTGCTGGCCAGGTGGCTCAGCAGGTAAAAGCACTTGCTGCACAAGCCTGACAACCTAAGTTTGAGTCCCAGGACCCATGGTGAGAGGAGGGAATCTACTCTTGAAAATTGTTCTTTGACCGCCACACACGCATCATGCACAAATAACACAAATGAGGGCTGGAGAGATGGCTTGGCAGTTAAGAGCACTGGTTGCTTTTGCAGAGGATCTGTATTCAGTTCTTCACCCTAACTCCAATTCTAGGGGATCCAAAGCCTTCTTTTGGTTTCTTTGTGCATTGCATGCATGGGTGCACTTACATGCAGGCAAAACACTCATACACATAAAATAAAAATAAATAAAAAAATTTTAAAAAGCAAACCAAGGGTGCTGCAAAGATGGCTCAACAATTTAAGAGGACTGGCTACTCTTGCAGAGGACCTGGGTTCAGTTCCCAGCAC